TTCGTCTAGACTTACCATAACCTTTATCTTCTGAAGAAGACCGTTTATGTCAACCCGGTCAGATGCCTTTGAGATATCCAAAGCAACAGCCCGAGTTTCACCATTCTTATCTAAAGCTTGGTAGATTATTTCAGCAATAACATTTAATACATCAGCACTTGAGCTAAAGAAGAGAAAGCCTTACTGCTTATCTGAAAGAAAACTCTGCGACGTGAGGTGCTTAAACAATTCAGTGTTGATTGGAGCTTTTAGTTATTTGTTAAAAACATGTAGAAGGCTAATAGGCCGATAGTTAAAAGAACCAAATGGTTCGTTTGTGTTCTTAAAGACTGGAACTACGGAAGAGGATTTCCAAAAAAGGTATCTATTGCAGAGTTTAGAGAGAACAGGGGTACATTTCTTAAGGATTATTACAGGGATGACATCAATTCCACATGCCTTGCGAGGATCCAGTTTAGAGGTGATAGCCGAAACCATAGACAGAGTTACATGCATATCACTCAATAGAAACACAGTCGAAAGTCAAGCAAAGCTACCCCAAATAGGTCTCAAGAGTAGAATATCAGCAGTTGACTGTTCCTTATCTGAAAGAAGACCCTGCGATGGGAGATGTTTAACCAATTCAGAGTTGATTAGAGCATCTAGGACTTTCCAAAAAAAAAAAAAAGAAAAGAAGGTAGAAGGCTAATGGGCCAGTAATTAGAAGGATCAGACAGTTGCCAGAGTTCTTAAAAACAGAGACTATAGAAGAGGAATTCTAAGAAACAAGAAATCAAGAAGCAGCGAGGCATTTATTGTAGAATTTAGAGAGAACAGGGGCCAGTTCAGAAGCACATTTCTTAAGAACTATTCAAGAGATAGCATCAAGTCTACAGGCTTTCCAGGGATCCAGTTTAGAGATGATAGCAGAAACCATTGGTAGAGTTATAAGCATATCAGTCAATAGAGACTCAGTTCTAAGTGGAAAAGTCAGGCAAAGATACCCCAGATGAATCAAGAGTATATTTGGAAGAGAATTTACAAACAAAATATTCTGCTTTACTAGCAGAAGTTATTAACACCTCAAATTGAGTGAAGAAAGGTAGAATAGAAGATCGTAGTTATGTAAAACAATATTACAGAGCCGCAGTCGTCATGAGAGCCATAGTTATTGAGGCTACAGGGTACCTCATTCTATCAACAAAGACTTAGCTTATTTGAGGACGCGTTCACAATTTTTATGTGCAGACACAAAGGAATGTCTGTTGTGGCCTGTATTATCACGCTGGTAGTTGTTATGGTAATTTACCCACACACGCATGGACTCTATCGACTATAAATAGGAGCAGGTACTGCCTTTTAGAAAGGAAAAGTTCTCAGCACTCAGCTCTGACAGTTGGATCGAACATTCTTGCTGTAACACTCTCATTTGTATATATTTGTATTACTGTTTCTGTTAATATATTTGTTTAATTCAATTCCTCTCATTGTGTCTTTATTTCTGACTCCAACAAAGCCACAACATTATGACAGCCTAAAAAGTGATTCCGATGGGTTATATCGGCTAAAGAGGCAGGTGTGAACGAAGAGGATGATTGTGGCTTCACCTGTTACATCCGGAAAAAAAGTGATTCCTGTAGGCTATAACGTGTGAATCAAGGAGGAGATTGCGTTTTCACCTGGTATTTCCAAGAAGATACAAGAGCAATCGACGTCGGCCTTAATCCTAGAAGAAACATCAGTGGCACAATTCTTAATAGCAAGCTTAAGAACATCAATCCAAAGGGCGTCTCGATTAAAGTCACGAAATTAATCCCAATCAGTATGTTGGTAAGAGAAATATGTCCTGTTAATAGGAGGTCCCTGTCTAATAGACGACTCAAAAGTGTGATCTGAATTGGCAAGAGGGCAGGGTTGCTGTGCTCGACAAGAGCCAGGAGAGGAAGTATGGAACAAATCAAGTAAAAATGCTTATTGATCAGTTGTGATCAGAACTATCGTACCAGTAAAGGCAGAAAAAAGTGATTCCTGTGGGCTATAGCAGCGGAACAGGCAAGTGAGAACCAAGGACAAGGTTGTGGTGTAATGTAGTATTTCGCGGCCCTTATAGTTGAATTGTTGTTAGATGGAATTGATGCTCCTGGGCCTAGTACTTTCGACAATTTCAAATTGTCATCTTCAGGGCGTTTTAAAAACATCTTTCGGTCTACACTACATTTATTTCGTCTTGGTGTTTATCTGTAAATGGAAATATTACGCCCTGAAGATGACAATTTGACATTGTCGAAAGTCCTCGGCCCAGGATCATCAATTCCATCTAACAATTCAACTATAAGGATCGCGTCATTCAAAGAATTGATAGTAAGTTAATGTATGTATAGTATAGTATTTCCAAGAAGGTACAAATCATCGATGCCTGATTTTACCAAAAACCTCAGTGTCACAGATCTCAATAAGGAGGTTAAAATATAAATCCAAGAGGCATCACGAAGAAAATCATGAAATGAATCCCAATCAGTATAATGGTTACAGAAAGAAGCCTTGTGAACAGATACTACAGCATGATCCTAATTGACAAGAGGATAGAATATCAATCCAAGAGGCATCTGGAAGAAAGTCATGAGATGAATCCTAATCAGTATGTTGGTTACAGAAAGAAGTCTTGTGAATAGGAGGTTCAGCGTGATCCGAACTGGCAAGAGGATAGAGTTGCAATGCTCGACAAGAGCAAGGAGAGGAGGTAAGGAACAAATCAGTTAAAGAAGCAGGTTGATCAGAATTATCAGGGAAACGCGTAGAGAATTACACTATTTGACTGAGAGACTGCGCAGTGGAAAAATTGAAAGTCTGAATAGAGGCAACATCTGTAACTTTAGTATGATTTAGCCACTTGACATGATGAACATTAAAATCACCAAACACAAAAACGTTCAATGAATGATTAACGGTGTGTGTGTGTGTGTGTGAGTGTGTGTGTGTGTGTGAGAGAGAGAGAGAGAAAGAGAGAGAGAGAGAGAGAGAGTCCTTTCTATTCTGTCAGATATTTTGTCTAATGTTAAAGTCCTGAGAAGAAGGAGAGCAATGAAAGAAAAAGTGATAGCTAACTGAGTGCAATAAAGTGAGGCGAAAGCACACGAATGAATCACCCGGCAGCTCAACAGACAATTGCCGTGATACTGAAAGATTTTCCGGGACGTAAACATCAAGGATATACATATGTACTGTAGAATTTATTCAAGGCGGAAGATAGCCCGTGACAGAGAATTCCTTCTAAGTACTAGATTGGCAACAAGGTTTCATTATTTTACTGTTGAAATTGCTAGATGTAACCGTAAGTTCTATGCTAACAGTTCCTTCTATTGCATTCTTCGCTTGTGGAACTCTCGGGTTCTTGCTGCCAAGTCAACTTTCATCTTTGATGTCAATCGTTGATGAGTTAGAAGCCATTGTCAAAATGCATGATAAATAACGTGAACAGAAATAATAAAGTTTGCAATGAAAAGAAAAAGGGCAAAAAAATATAGAATAAACAGCAACAATGATTGCGACAAGCAAAAATATATAATTAAAGCAAATCAAACAGGTAAGAAGGCAAAAGTATTCACAGACTATGGCAGTAAGTCGAGAGACAATGCCATAGCCTGTTCAACTGTCGAACTCTCTGCCTTGAGCAGAGAGGAACCCGGACGAAGCTTTGCCGAAGGGTAAGGTTTCATCCGGGGAGGTAGACAGACCCTGAACCCGTCTAGGCGGGTTCAAAGGGTATATTTTTGGCCGAAGCTACAGGCTCGGGGAATCCACGGTAAACTCAGCCTTGTGCCACATACATCTCTCATTGGCTGTTAAATATTAACTATGACAGTAGGTCCATCTAGTAGTTAAGGTAGACCTAAACTGAGTCATATCAAAACGCAAGCCGTCCCATGTTTTTGGCTAAGAAAATATCCCATCATGCATTTCGTGCATTTCTGATTATAAGAAAGGGGGGGGGATTTTTACATCCATTCTCCTTCCTCTTGGGAAATCAACAATCGTTATCTTCTGTCCTCTTAATTCGTGTCCTTTTATTGTTTTCTCACATTAATAGTTATTATTTTCTCATATTCATTAACGCTTAGAAACCTATTGCGTCTTAGGAACTTTATTGCTTTTCTTGGGGTGAAATGATTACAAGAAACTGGCTTAAGAAGATAATGCTTTAAGGAGAAAGTCGCAGAAATAATTATCACTGGCCGTTGTCGATGGCAATAAAAACTAGCCAGAAGGTGGCTAAAGCTATAACATAATATGGCTTCAACGTGAATCCTCGGACGTTCATGTAGGGACACTTATCCATGTGCGACATGGCTCTTTAGATGCCCCAATACGACTGCTGACCAGGAGAGCCTCTCTAAACGCTACCAAAGGTGTCGGGCTCCTTACTACCAATCAGATGTGATAACCAGAAAACGGCAAAGCCGGTAGCCTTATAATGAAATGTCGCAGCATCTCAGCAGTCAGATCAGTTAAGACAGTTAAATGGAAGAAAGGGACAGGTAAACCACATCGTAAATAGGAAACAAACGTATCTATCTATCTATCTATCTATCTATCTATCTATCTATCTATCTATCTATCTATCTATCTATCTATCTCAGCTTGTTCATATCTATCTATCTATCTATCTATCTATCTATCTATCTATCTATCTATCTATCTATCACAGTCTGTTCAATATCTATCTCAGTCTGTTAATATCTATCTATCTATCTATCTATCTATCTATCTATCTATCTATCTATCCCATTCTGTTTCTATCTATCTATCTCCTCCTCTTCATTATCTATCTATCTATCTATCTATCTATCTATCTATCTATCTATCTATCTATCTATCTCTGAGGTTTGATACCTGATAAGAGGCAAATTAAGACATTCCATTATTAGACCGGCAGAAATATTATTCACATTCGCAAAAAAAAAGCCCACCAAAAAACAAAAAAAATTAAAAAAACATGATGCCTACATAGACACGAGTATCAACTAAATAGGTAGATAGAAAGAAAGAGAGAAGGAAATTGATACAGATAGATAGATAGATAGATAGATAGATAGATAGATAGATAGATAGAAAGGGAGTAAGAAATGAATAAAGATAAATATGAACAGACTAATAGATTGTAGATAGATAGACAGATAAATATAAAAAGAAAGAAAGAATGAAATTAATAGATATAGCTAGAGATAAACAGATTAACATATAGTTATGAACAAACTGAGACAGATACATAGATAAATACGAACACACTAATAGATATATATATATATAGAGAGAGAGAGAGAAATGAAAACACTAATAGATAGATGGATATAAAGAAATGAACACAGTAATAGTTAGAGAGATAGATACATAGATAGATAGAAATGAACACACTAATAGATAGATAGATAGATAATAGAGAAATGAACACACTAATATATATATATATATATATATATATATATATATATATAGAGAGAGAGAGAGAGAAATGAAAATACTAATAGATGGATATAGAGAAATGAACACAGTAATAGATAGATAGATAAATAGATAGATAAATATGAAAAGACCGAGATAGATAAATAGATAGATAGATAGAAACAGAATGAGATAGATAGATAGATAGATAGATATGAAAAGACCGAGATAGATAGATAGATAGATATGAAAAAAACCGAGATAGATAGATAGATAGATAGATAGATAGATAGATAGTTGAAGAAACCAAAATAATTTATTAGAGGATTGAATAGAAGCATCTACCGAAACAGAATTTAAATTAAAAAAGCCTAAGATGCATGTAAATTTTTAAAAAAGACTAGATAAGCAGCCACACACATACACACACTCAGACACACACACACGCGCACGCACGCGCACACGTGTGTGTGTGTCTGAGTGTGTGTGTGTGTACAGATCAAAAAAAGTGATCGAAAGGAATTAATCCGATTATATATATATTTGCTCATTATTCTGTAATTCGCCATTATCTTTTGTTTTTACCTGTATTTTTTTTTTCGTGTAGGAGAGTAAAGCGGTTTTTTTTTTATCTCCATTTTTGGTCGATTGATGCTATTGGCAATGCAGTTGAAGCATCATAAGCTACAAACAAACATTTCATTCACTGCCACCCACCAGTCTTACGTTCCTCCTCAAAAAATATTAAGAAAGCTTTGATGTACAATAAAAATAATGCACGGCTCGCAAGCCGACCGGAAAGCATAGCATCCTAATGATCGTCGTGTAAAATTTTACAATTCTGAAACTTTTAAACGCCCCCAAAGGAAAATGGTACGTTAAACTGGAAGAAGACAAAACACAATTGACAGACCAAAGTATGAACTGCGTATAGGGAATGTTAACATGAAACAGCTATAACAGTTTAACTCTTTGCATAGTATAGTAACTTGCCCCATTCTGAACGATAGCGATCATGGCTCTCCACAATGTCCCGTCTTTTGTAGCTCTTAATAAATGTTCATTTTTTTTCTTTTCTAAAACCTCTTCTGGCATCCATTTTATTCAAGCTCGTTAGGTAGGATATGCGATGATTTCCTCTGTATCTCTTGCCTATAATCTGTCCCGTGAGTGGCGTCCCATAAGGAATATGAAACGCTAAACTGAAAGAAGAAAAAAACACAATTGACAGACCAAAGTGTGAGCTGCGTGACGGGGACGTTAAAATCAAACAGCTATAACAGTTTAACTCCTTGCATAGTATAGTGACTTGACCCATTCTGAACGATGGCGATCATGGCTCTCCACAATTTCCTGTCATTTGTAGCTCTTAATAAATGTTTTCTTCTTTATCTCTTCTAAAACCTTTTCTGCCATCCATTTTATTCAAGCTTGCTAGGTAGGATATGCGATGATTTCCTCTGCATCGTTTGCCTATAATCTGTCCCGTGAGTGACGCCCCATAAGGAATATGAAACGCTAAACTGGAAGAAGACAAAACACAATTGACAGACCAAAAGGTTATGCGATGTTTTCCTCTGTCCCTCTTGTCTTCAATCTGTCTCGTGAGTGTCAAACTCTCCATGCCTTCTTTTCTTATTACGTGCCTTAGAAATTTCAGTTGTCTCTTTCTCATTTTGACTCTGTCTTTTTTGATTTCGTTTTCTTTAAAACTTCGTCGTTGTTCCCATGTTTCTTCCATGATATTTTCAGCGTCTTTCTGTAGAAGCCCATTTCTGTTGCTTCATATATACTCTTCATCTGGGAGGAGATTGTCCAGCATTCTCTACCTTAGAGGAGAACTGATATTACGTAGCAGGGCAGGGCTCTTTTTTTTTCTTTTCTTCTTTTTTTTTTTTGTCAACAACATTTTCCTGTTTCTTAATACTTTGCTTAGCTTTTGGAAGGCATCTTTCGCTAATTCCACGCGCATTCGGATTTCGGTTTGAAATCCGAAGGCACATCGGAATAGTGAATAGTAACGCTATGTCATATCTAATCTATATGGCAGGGAATGAAGGTAAATTTATTTCGAAGCCTGACCACATATTTACCGAGTTTGGGTGTCAAAACCAGGTCAGAGAAGAATGGTAAAGTGGAGAGCCATGATTGACCACGATTTGGGATATATACCATATAAAAGAAGTATTATTGGTAATATTAGGTTGGTGCAAAAATAATGTCGTTTTTTGACGTTCAACTTAACGTCAAAAAACGACATTATTTTTGTACAAACCTAATAATATTGTCTTGAATTTTTAGCAGGTGAATTATCAACCATATAAAGAGATTTAGAGGATTTAACACTCATAGAAGAGTAACGTGGAAAAGAGAGTCATAAACTAAGATAATGGATGGCAAAACAAGGTAAAGATTTGTGGTCTTCCTCTTTGTTCTATGTGCTATGGCTCTTCAGGACGTAGGCGTTCATGACCCTCGCCAGCTTCCCATCTTTTCTAACTCTTATCAATATTTGTCATTTTAATCTCCCTCCAATTCACTCTGTTGCTCTTTCTTCAATATGGATTGAATATATGCTGGATACTTTCCACAGAGATGAAGAGAAAAACTTGAAGTAACAGAAATGTTGTTCTACAGAAGGATGTTGAGAATACTGTGGGCGAAAAAGTAAGCAACGAGGAAGTTTTAAGAAAAACAGAAATAAAATTTCACTTATAAGTAAAATCAGAAAAAAATGAAGTTTACATGTATTTTAAGGATTAAACAAAAGCATTTGAAAATGTAAGGCGTAAGGATCTATTTGAACTGTTAGGAAAACTCGATCTACTTGGAAAAGATGCTATAATATATAGACTATTAGAATTTATTCTGGGAGCAGACCGAATGGATATGGATTGAAAAGGAACCGTGTATTATAAAAATAGAAAGGATGTTTCTTCCGTCCAGATTTATTCAACCTCTCCAACGAGGCTAACCTAAGGGCACTGGGAATCTTACCAGCATTTATTATCAGTATATGTAGTACTAACTCATTCCCCCCACTTGGACGAGATGTGACACAAGGTCTTTTATTAGGTGGGGACCCGAGCGCGTACGCTCAGGACAAGGAGAAAAATTCCCCTCAGTCCCCGCAACCGTCGGTTTCCCTGGCCTCGGTGCGAGCACCAATCCCTGCCATGCAATGGAACGGCGCGGCCTCTGGCAGCTGTTCCCCAGGGTTTAGGCATCTCTCGGTATGATTTTCTCAGTTGCCCCTCTATCTTTTGACAGAGAAGCCCCTGAGCGCATTCTGCCCAAAGACAGAGACGCAACTGAGAGGTGATAAGCCATGCGTTAGAAATCCCTCCAAAGAGGACTTTACGGTCTACGTAATCTTAGCAATATAAGATACTGTTGTGGAGTAGCTGAACACCCCACAACATGGACTGGTCTAAGACTATTTAAACAGCACTCTCTCTTACCGAGGGAGAGGAGTTACCGATTAATTGTTACTCTGCTTGTCGACCCTCTGCCTTCGGGCTAAGAGGAACTCAGACGAGGCTATGCCTATGGACAGAGTCTCGTCTATGGGGGAAGACAGATACCCAATCCTGTGTATGCGGGGTCTACGGAAAACTTTCGCCCGGGCGTACGTGCTCGGAAAACCCCACGTATAAAACCGGCCTTGTGCCACATCCCACCTTGTGGGGAGGCCTCGGGTAAATACCGAGGAGTTAATGATTAACTGTTTATTACATTAGTCTGTGTTCTCAACCGTGTACCATTTTATTCTCTGGAATAAACTATTTCTTATTTTCTGTATGTGTGTTAAATTTATTTACAAGACAACACAAACAGACATATATATTTAATTAATATAAGTAAAAGTTTGTCATTTAACAGATTGACATTACCTTCAGCATTCAAATTCCAGAGTTCCACACCCATTTATCTATTCATCAGAGGGTATCAGTAATTGACTGCTTATACTTCTCAATTTTTTTTAATATGTACTTTTTAATTGGTGCAAGGTTTTTTGTTTTTTTTTCCTAGTGTATGCATTCACACTCATCTGTGCAGAAGTTTAGGATGTCATGATTATTTGTGCTTTTTTTTTCCTTCTTCACTTTACATGCACTCCTTTGATCTTTTCTTCTTTTTTTTTCTTTCAATTGTTGCCATTTGTCTTCAATTTTTTTCTCGGCATGATGTCGTCCATTTTAATTTTTGAGCCTTCTAGTCTTTTCTTGAATTAGGAAAATTTTATTTCATTTTTTTAATAAATAATTCATTTTAATGCTTAAATGATAAAATAAATACTTATTTATGTCTTTACTTGGCTATTATTGCTGAGTACATATATACATTAGGCAGATGCATATGCAAGAATAACTTAGATGTCTTTGGGAAATTTTTGCCCGAGTCTACGGGCTCTGAACGCTCAATGTAAAAAAAAAACGGCCTTGTGCCCCATCCCGTCTTTTGGGGAGGTCTCCGGCAAATAAGGAGGAGTTAACGATTAAGCTGTTTAATACATTACTCTGTGTTCTCAACCGTGTACCACATTATTTTCCGGAATAAACTACTTTTTATTTTCTATATATATATAGACATTTATTTCCGGTTCCTTCTGAAGACTACTTCAACTCTATACTTCTAAAGTCTCTGCTCGGACTCTGGAATTTTTATCTTGTTGTGGAGTAGCTGAACACCCCCATACGATGGACTGGTCTAAGACTATTTAAACAGCGCTCTTTCTTACTGAGGGACAGGAGTTAACGATTACAGTTAACTCTGCTTGTCGACTCTTTGCCTCCGGTCCGAGTGGAACCCAGACGAGGTTATTTTTTTGTTGCCCGAGTCTATGGGCTCTGAACGCTCAATGTAAAAAAAAAAACGGCCTTGTGCCCCATCCTACCTTTTGGGGAGGTCTCGGGCAAATAAGGAGGAGTTAACGATTAAGCTGTTTATTACATTAGTCTGTCTTCTCAACCGTGTACCACATTACTTTCCGGAATAAACTACTTTTTATTTTCTATATATATATAGACATTTATTTCCGGTTCCTTCTGAAGACTACTTCAACTCTATACTTCTAAAGTCTCTGCTCGGACTCTGGAATTTTTATCTTGTTGTGGAGTAGCTGAACACCTCCATACGATAGACTGTTCTAAGACTATATAAACAGCGCTCTCTCTTACTGAGGGGGGGGAGTTAACGATTACAGCTAACTCTGCTTGTCGACTCTTTGCCTCCGGTCGAAGAGGAAACCAGACGAGGTCATGCCGAAGGGCAGAGTCTTGTCTGTGTAGGTAAACAGCTACCCGACCCCGTGTATATGGAGTCTTTTTTTTTTGCCCGAGTCTACGGGGTCGGAACGCTCCATGTAAAAAAAAACGGGGAAGGTATCGGGTAAATACCGAGAAGATTAAGCTGTTCATTACATTAGTCTGTGTTCTCAACCGTGTACCATTTTATTCTCCCGAATAAACTACTTATTTTGTATATGCGTTAACCTTTTCTATTTACGACACAACAGATACGCAGATAACACTGTGTTGATGAGTGACACAGACAGTAAACTATAGAACTTCCTAGGCAGGACGGTAGAAGAAAGCGTGAAAAAAGGACTAACTATCAACTGCACGAAGACAGAAAATATGGTCATAAGCAAGAGGAAAAACCCAAGATGCTAGTTACAATTTTTTTCTTTTACAGTGATGTTCACCATGTATAAGGCCCGGGGTCCAATCAAGGTAGAGCGTGAAGCAGTTTATGCGGAGAGGAGGAGAGGATAACAGTCAACCCTAGACTTGAACAGGTTAA